TCTTTGCACAGGGATATGGGACCAGGGAACTGACAGATGACACCCCACCCTTGGAGAGGCAGGACGAGCATTGCCGTGTCAGGGACACTCTGGGGAGGGACCAGAGGGACTAGGGGGAAGTTTAGGAAGGACCCAGTGCCTCTCTGCCTGACACTCCCAAGTGTGGAGCCGAGGATCACTTCAGGCCTTCACCTTATCCTTTTCCTATGCAGGCGAGCGGGGCACAACCTTGTCTGGTGGCCAGAAGCAGCGTGTGGCCATTGCCCGTGCCCTCATCAAGCAGCCCACAGTGCTGATCCTGGATGAGGCCACCAGTGCGCTGGATGCTGAATCTGAACGGGTGGTGCAGGAGGCCCTGGACCGAGCCAGCACTGGCCGCACTGTGCTGGTCATTGCCCACCGGCTCAGCACTGTTCGTGCAGCCCACTGCATCATTGTCATGGCCAATGGCCAGGTCTGGGAGGTCAGTGTGGGCCTGGGGAGTCGAGCAGTGGGTTAGGGTGGCTCTAGCCATGGATGGTGGAACAGGCAGCATAGAGAAGCAACTCCTCTGGCCCAGCCCCATGTCCTAGAAGCAGAATCCCAACACATGCAGGTGTTCCGACCCTTGCACAAGCCCTGGCCTCTGGAGGCCTTGGTTTCTTTCTCTGTCCCCTGGCATAGAGGCTCATTAGAGGCTCCCAGGATTAAAGGGAAAAGTAGATCTGTTGGAGGTAGGCGTGGGGCCCAGGGCAGGGTTGGCCACCCAAGGGCTGAGAGCAGAGGCTACACCAGGGACTATGATGGTACCATTAGGAGCAGATCCTCAGAGAGCTTGTGGGCTTGACTCATAGACTCAGTGCAGGGGAGGGGGCTAACGGGAAGAGTCAACATTCTTCCCTAGTCCTTTGGAGGAGGGATGGGCACTAACAGCTGTGCCCTCAGCAATGGAAGTTCGTTTCAGGTTGGACTGTGTTTTCCAAGTGTCCCCAGAAGATCACTGGCTTAAGTGACCAGGAGCCCAATGACTGATAAAGGCCAGCCCTCCCAGGGCTCTGAATGTGATGCTGTTGAGTGACCCTCAGGCCCTTCTTCCCTCCTTCCAGGCTGGGACCCACGAAGAGCTCCTGAAGAAGGGTGGCCTCTATGCAGAGCTCATCCGGAGGCAGGCCCTGGACACCCCACCAACATCAGGCTCACCTCGGGAGAAGCCCAGAGGCTCCAGGAACCACTAGCACAAGTCCTAAGAATGGCCCTCTGAGGTCTGGTTGCTGCCCAGCATCAGGGACAGCTCAGCTGGGGGAGCTGTCCAGGGACTGGGCCCCTGGAGGGCCAGCATACTAGGTGTGGCTGTGACTGTTGCCTCTCCACTCACAATAAAGCCAGGCCCACCAGCTGGGCTGGGGGTGGTATCTCTCCCACTCACTCTCACCCCTGCTGCCTGCCAGAGCACAGAATCTTTGGGCTGCACATGGTGAGGCAGAATCCCCAAAGCCTTTCTGCTCTGTCCTCTCTCTGCCCCAGCTCTACCCAACATCCTGAAGTTGTCTGGACCCTCAGCCCCAGGAAATTTTGAAAATTCAGAGTCCAAGAGTAGGCATGGGAATCCAGACCTGAGCTCTTCCCCATTCCTGCTAGGATCTCACTTCGTAAACTGGGGACTGACTCTCCCACTGGAAAGTCCCTGCTGCCTCTCCGACCCTGAGAGGAAGAGCCTCCCCTTGGTCCATCCTCCACATATCCTCTCTTCCAGCCCTCTCCTCCATTACCACAGTCTTAATATCTGGATTTTACCCACCACCTCCAAGGGGACAGATGCTTAACAGGGCCCACATGGGTTGGGGTAAGAGGGGTGAGACACTATTACTGTCCCTTCCCTGTGTGACTTGAGTCTTTGACCTGGTGAGACTGAGCCAGCCCCCTGCTTGAAGGAGACAGGGGCCTGCAGCACACCCAGCATGCTCAGTGGGCCCGTGGCGCCCACGGGGAGCAGTTGGTGCAAAGCCATGGGGAGGCTCATGGAGGACGTGGCTTGGGGCCTCATCTTGGAAGGGGATGGACAAGCTGACAGCCCTAGTGACATGCTTATGGCCCCAAAGCTGTGAATGAGACAGTTCTGGGTCCCAGCTGGCTTCTAGGGGTCCAAGAAATGCACTGTGAAAGGCTCTTGGACTGCAGTGGTGCCCAGAACCAAAAGCAGTCAGGACCTTATGTCCTTACGATGCTGCAGATGTACCAGTCCTCCTCATCCACTCCCAGGGCTGGTGGCCTCCTGCCTTGATGCTGCCCTTGTCTCTTCCCACTAAGGGTCTTCCTTTGTCTAGCCATATCCAGACTGGGACTCCAGAGTCCCACTCTCTGAGGCATGGGGAGAGTGGGTGCCTGTGCCACCCTTCAGAACCAGCCAAGCATTTTGCATTTTTCCTGCAGCAAAGAAGTATTTCCATTTTTCAGGGGGCAGGAGCAGTGGTGTACAAATGAGGTAAAAGGCAGCAGTGGCTTAGGTGTGAGTGCAGGAGCCAGGTTGGGACTTGAAGCATCTGTGGGCATGGTTTAGGACCAGATACCACTATGGGGCAAGCCATCCAAAAGCCCCAGGGCCCCAACATCCTTGTTTGGTATCCTGCTTTCTGACTGATCAGAGGTTGCAGTCCAGGGAGCAGAGTTTAGGGCTGGCTCCAGGTTGCTTGGCCACTAAACTAGAGCCTGGGCAGGGACTCGGCGTCCTAGCTGGTCCCTTCTGCTCTGCCCAACCCTAGGCCTGGTTGTTGCCTGATGCCTTCCTCTCAGGGCAGGAAGCTAGGCAGCTCCTGTTTCCCATCCCACCTCCAGGCCCAGGCCACCCAGCTTCAAGATGGCTCTTCCGGAATTGCCCTCCTCCCACCACCTGGAGAAGTTAGAGAAACCCCATGGCCAGGCAGATGAGCTGTGCATCTGCACTCACTGGCCTGTAAGCTCACCTTGACCTTGCTGTGCCAGCTACTCTGCAGAGATACAGTCTGGCTATGCTTGGTCTTGAAAAGTCTTTTCCAAGGGATAAATGGGATGATCTACAGTGAAGTACTTAAAAACACGGTGCAATAGCCTGGGAAAGTGTTCACATCTGTGCTACAAGCCATCATATCCACTCATCCCTTCCAAAGTATTATACCTCTCTCACGTGCCACTCAGTCCGAGATGGCCCCTGCCCCCCGAAGCCTGTGAGCCTTTGCAGCATGGTGCAGCCATATTTGGCTGGTGGAAATATGTGCTTCCTACTCAGCTGGAAGTCTGAATAAATAAATCTGGTGGCCTACAATGCCTTTTGGACAAAAATGGAATTTATTAGAAATAAATTGCAGTAAATTAATGGAGGTAAGCCTATGTTCTCAGATCCACAGGGAAGAGTTGAGCAGTTTCCCAATCAAGGGTAGATGAGCATTTCACTAGCACAGAGCTTGACACTGACGAGGACCCCTGTGTGGATGCTCCCAGACCTACCCCTGCAGCTCCAAGCTGGGCCACAACGTTTCTGCTTGACCTGACCCCTTGCCCGCTGCAGGCCAGCTAGCACAGTCCTTGTGGACATCAGCTCTAAGTGTCTCTGTGCCAACTGCTGGGAGGCCCCCTGCCCGCCTCTTCTACTCTTCTTTCTAGATAGGGAGAAGAACCATTTCTGGTCAGACTGGGTGCTAGCTCTGCCCTCTCAAGGGCACACACAGCTGGTTCATGGGCATAGAGTCCTTTTCTTTAGAAGAATCCCATGCTGAACAGCCACATGCGCTCCCTCCTCTGATACTGGTGGGACTGCAAAATGGCATAATTGCCATGGGGGAATTTGGTGACATCCACCAAATTACTAACACAGTGGCCTTTTGACCCAGTGTTTCTATTTCCAGGAGTTTACATCTGTGCAATGGCATGGCCAGCAACACTGATGGGAAGACTGGAAACCCCCTATGGGCATCAGTAGGGGAGTGGTTAAATAAACAACACGATTCAATCAATGGGATTACTGGCATATGGCCACTTCTAAAGATGGGGTTTTCCAGGTGCTAGGTATCACATGGTCTCTAGGACATGGTCAGTAAAAAGAGACATGAAGTAATAGGGTAGCAGGTAAGCCCACAATCACTGGTAGAAGCCAGCCTCACCAATAGGAGGGCCTGAGTATAGGGAGGTAGGTTCTGATATACAGGAAAAAAGAGTCCCTGAATGTGGCCCTAAAGAGCACCCTGGCCATCCAGTGTAGGCTGGGATGCTGACAGCAAGGGAAGAGATCTTCCAATGTCAAACTTCCCACTACTTTCTAGTTTGGTCAACAGCCAAGTCCACTCTGAAGGAACAAATGATCCCAGGTGGGATAGTAGGAAGGCAGGAGAGGCAAAATGAGGGAGGGGCTGGACTAGGGGCCAGCGACAAACCCTCAGATCTGATGTGCAGAGGCCGCATCTGGAGACCCAGAGGGTCCTACTGGCACTTCCAGTTCCAACTTATCTCTGGGCTCCCTTCAAGCCCTACCCAGGGCTGCTGCGGTTTCCTCCTGGCGCCTCTGGTCTCTGACAGCAACGGCACCCCCCCCCCCAGTGCTGTGCTAATGGCTCAGCCTGGGGCCCCAGGGACCTTCCCTGCCCCCCAGACTGCTCTGCTGGCCCCCTTGCCCCCCTCACTGTTGAAACCCAATCCTCTGCAGCAGTGCCAGCTCAGCACCATCTCAACACTGCTCTGCAGCCCCTGCCTGCCTCTGTTGCCTGCGCCCTACCTGGACTTTGCTGCAGAGCCCCCAGTCCAGCGTTGAGCCCAGGGGAGCCACCACCTGTTTCTGGGGAAGGTTTCTGGAGCAGCAGGTCACCTCACCCATCCAGCAGGCCAGTGCCTTCCTGCCTTTGGTTTTGTTCCTCTCCCTCCTCTCCTTGCCACCTTCTCCTACCCTCTCCTCACCTGAACTCCTGGCTCCCTGAATCCTATCTCCATCCCTGCCAGTCCTCCAACCCACCCTCTCCCACTTGTTCTAAGCCCCTGGGTCACCAGCCCCAGGGACCTCTCCACGCGCCTCCTGGGTTCCAGCCATGAAGCCCCCCTCAGGGTTAGAAGAGGCCCGCCGGCCAGCCTCAGATATCCGTGTGTTCGCCAGCAGCTGCACGCTGCATGGACTTGGCCATGTCTTTGGCCCTGGTGGCCTGACCCTGCGCCGCGGGCTGTGGGCCACAGCCGTGCTCCTGTCGCTGGCAGCCTTCCTCTACCAGGTAGCTGAACGGGTGCGCTACTATGGGGAGTTCCACCATGAGACGATCCTGGACGAGTGTGAAAGCCACCGGCTCACCTTCCCAGCTGTCACTCTGTGCAACATCAACCCACTGCGCCGCTCACGCCTTACACCCAACGACCTGCACTGGGCTGGGCCCTCACTGCTGGGTCTGGACCCTGCTGAGCACACTGCCTTCCTGCGCTCCCTGGGCCGGCCCCCTGCACCACCCGGCTTCATGCCCAGTCCCACCTTTGACATGGAGCAGCTCTACGCCCGAGCTGGCCACTCCATTGAGGACATGCTGCTGGATTGCCGCTACCGAGGCCAGCCATGTGGGCCGGAGAATTTCACTGTGGTGAGCTACCCACTCTATCCAGAGACCCACATTCCCCAGCATTGCCAGCCAGGCTCTCCTGAAGTCAGAGAACTTTAGCAGGCATCCTGGCATCCCTTCCTTCTTGGGAGCCATGTCATTCTGTTCAGCCCAGGAAGGGGCCCTCCTTGAGGCCCCCTCCTCATCTCCCAATCGTCATGCACACCTAAGGGCTGACCTATAGAGACCCTACTATTGGAGAAGGGAACTCTCCAGTGGACAATTCTATTCTAGGCAAAAAAGCCCTCTCTGCCAGAAGGAGACTTGGACTTGCTTTCCTCTGTCTCTTCAAAGTTTTGCCAGGATGGCAACTGGTCCACTTCTTTTTCCCTGTAGGCTGTGCCCTGGGCGTTGGTGGGAGTTGGGGGCTGGAGGAGTTGCAGTGATAGATGGGTGTCTGAGAGGGCTCACCCATATGTATCTGCATTGGGGGGTCAGGGGCATCAAGAGGTGGGCTTCAGGGTTCAAAAGAGAGACCCAGAATATGAGGAGGGGAGAGTCCCTAGGCCCATGTGCTTGTCTGGGGCGGGGAGGGCTGCCACCCTGTCTGCACCCCCAGATCTTCACCCGGATGGGGCAGTGCTACACATTCAACTCGGGTGCCAATGGGGCAGAGCTGCTCACCACCCCCAAGGGTGGTGCCGGCAATGGGCTGGAGATCATGCTGGATGTGCAACAAGAGGAATATCTGCCAGTGTGGAAAGACATGGGTAAGGGTCACACACACACACAGTGGGGTCTGCCAATCACATGGGTATGGAGCACATGCATTAGGACAGGTAACTGAAATGGGGTACAAAAGCCTAGGGGATCTTGATGTGGTGGCACACACCTGTAATTCCAGCTACTCAGGAGCTTGAGGCAGGAGGATGGCAAGTTTTGAGGCCAGCCTGCACAATTTAGCAAGGCTCAAAAACAAAAGCAATAAAAAGAGGTGGGGTGGATCTTAGTGGTACAGTACTTACCTGGCACGGGCTCTATCCCCAGTACTGGAACAAAGGGAAAAAGGCCAGGGAAAGGAGAAGAGGGTGGAGGTGTCAAGACGTGATTGCTGAGGCACTTCCATCCCTTATGCAAAGAGGGGCAGAACAGTTCTTCCCAGAACTGGGGAGGATGGGCTGCAGTCTCTGTCCTCAAAGACCCCTCCCTGTAGAGGAGACCCCGTTTGAGGCAGGGATCAGAGTGCAGATCCACAGCCAGGAGGAACCCCCCATCATCGACCAGCTGGGCTTCGGGGCTGCCCCCGGCTATCAGACTTTTGTGTCCTGCCAAAAGCAGCAAGTATCCTCACCTGTGCCTCCCTCAAGGCTGCCAGCCCCTCCTTCGTCCTGCACCACCTCAACCCTTACAGGCAGTTCCTCAGCTTGTCCCAGGGGCTGAGCTCCAGTGACTTCTTGCATTCTCCCATAAGTCTCCTTAACCCCGTCCCCTCACAGCTGAGCTTCCTGCCACCGCCTTGGGGCGACTGTAGTTCCGTATCTCTGGACCCCGACTTTGAGCCGGAGCTCTCGGAGGATCCCCTGTCCCCCAGTCCCAGCCCCAGCCCCAACCCTCCCTACAGCTTAATGGGGTGTCGCCTGGTCTGCGAGTCCCGCTACGTGGCTCGAAAGTGCGGCTGTCGAATGATGCATATGCCTGGTAAGGAGTAGGGTCCGTGTCCTGGGGTGGGTGGAGGCTAGGGGACACTTGGGCTCCTGAAGCTGCTTCCTTCCCCTCCCCAGGCGGCGCGCCGGTGTGCAGCCCCCAGCAGTACAAGGACTGCGCCAACCCGGCCCTGAGTAAGAGACAAGCCTCCCTCGGCCTCCAGGTCCCCGCCCCGCCCCGCCTTTGACCCCCACCCCTCTGGCCGCGGGACCCTGACTCCAGGCTCGGTGGCCCCGCAGACGCCATGCTGCGGAAGGACGCGTGCGCCTGCCCCAGCCCTTGCGCCAGCACGCGCTACGCCAAGGAGCTCTCCATGGTGCGGATCCCCAGCCGCGCTGCCGCCCGCTACCTGGCTCGGAAATACAACCGCAGCGAGGCCTACATCGCGTGAGCCCCTCCAGCGAGCCAGGGGCCCCGGCGGGGAGGGCGCGCGGCCCGGCCAGGCAGTCCACATCATCACGAGCTCTGTCTGGGGCTCTGGACAAACTGCCCAAGCGCTCTGACCCAGGGCCGAGGGGGTGACGTCCCTCCCAGGGTCTTGAAAGGAGCCAAAAGCCCCACATCATTTTGCTGCCAGCGGCCGGCACCAAGGATTAGCCAGCGAACATTCGGGCCTTTCTTCCCCTCCAGGGAGAACGTGCTCATTCTGGACATCTTCTTTGAGGCCCTTAACTTTGAAACAGTGGAGCAGAAGAAAGCCTATGAAGTGTCAGAGCTGCTCGGTGTGTGCTGAATGCCCAGGGTCTGTGGAGGCGTGGGCGGGGCAAGTGGCTGTAAGTTGACAGGCGCCCTGCTTCCACAGGTGACATTGGGGGTCAGATGGGGCTGTTCATCGGGGCCAGCCTGCTCACCATCCTTGAGATCCTAGACTACCTCTGTGAGGTGGGCCTGGGCCCCAGCTGGGGGAGGCGGGGAGAGGAATCTGGCCACTCGGGTCCAGGGGGAAGGTTTACCTGGCCACCTCCCCCTGCTGCTTGCCCTCAGGTGTTCCGAGACAGGGTCCTGGGGTATTTCTGGAACAGAAGACGCTCCCAGAGGCACTCCAGCACCACTCTGGTAACAGCCCCTCTTCCTTCCCTGCCACCTCCAGCAGCCTCCTCGGGCAGCCTAGGACGCTTCCCTGGTGGGGAGTGGGCGAGATATGTGCAGTGACCTTGGCTGGGCCCTACCTCTGACTCTCTTCCTCTTCCCACAGCTTCAGGAAGGGCTGGGCAGCCATGGAACCCAAGTTCCCCACTTCAATCTGGGCCCCAGGTAACACAAAATGGCCAAGTTCAAGGGAGGAGGGGCAGGACAGGTCCAGAGGGTACAGTCCAGGTCCTGAAGGGCAGGAACAAGGCATCAAGTGAAGGTCCCCTGCCCCAGTACTGTGGCCTGTCTCCCCAGGCCCCCCACCCCGCCCTGTGCTGTCACCAAGACTCTGTCTGCCTCCCACCGCTCCTGCTACCTCGTCACCCGGCTCTAGACATGCTCTGTGTGACCTCGGGGCCACACTTTGACATCCTGAATGCCCTGCCTGCACATCTTTGCTATCTTCATCCCAAATAAAGCTTTAATGTTTCTGCCTCAGGTGTTCCTCTTATAGGGCAGAGGCTAGCAGGGCCAAGGTCAGCTCTCCTCAGCCCAGTAAGTCCTCTGCAGTCAGCTTCAGCTAGGTATCACTTCTGTGAGGCCTGCAGAGCTGGGCCCCAATTAGCCCTCACAAACCTCTGGGAGAGGATGGTAGTAATAGGCTATCAGTCATTTGCACCTCAATGTGAATGAATTTATCAGAAGACATCAGAGGACAGGTCTCTCCCAATCCCAGGGCCCAGGTGTGATGGCCTAGAGGAGGCTCGTCAGTAGGTACAGGCTGGGTACAGCTGCAAGAAGACTCTGACCCAGAGCCCAGGGAGAAGTGGTGAGGAGGAATGGGGATGAGAGAAGGGCTCTTCCACTTCTAAGAACACAAGCTGGTGTCCTGCCTTTGAAGGCCATGATTCTTCTCACATTTGGGACCAAGCGTGGCACACAGCCTGTCTCCATGGGAGCAGTTCTTGCTTCCTCAACTCCCCACAGGAGAAGGCGGCCCTAGCTGGAAATGAGGGAGCTGAGAGCAGCCTCCCTTCCTCCTCCTGCCAGGAAGGACACACCAGGCCGGCCTCAGGCCCATTTCCTGCTTCTGCCGCACCCCCAACCATTGGAAAACTGGCAGAGAAGGAAGTGGGAGAGGGAGTGTTCCTCATAGAACCATACCTTTGGGTCTCTCCTATGCCAGCCTGCAGGCTTGGATATGGGGTATTGAAGAGGGAAAGGTCCATGTGGGACGTGGAGGGCCACAAGGAGAGACCCATGCCTTTTCTCCTCATTCTGGTGGAAGCCATCTTTGATCTCAGATGCTAGCTGCTTAACCCCTGGGGACTATGTCTGGCCTTCCTGGACAGAGGGAGGATGGGGTGTGCATAAGTGCAGAAGCACAGAAGTGCAGGGCCAACACCACCTTGACCCCAGCAGGGAGGAGTGGAGTCAAGGGTCAAGGCCTCATGATCCTGTAGTCTCAAAGCCACTTAGAGTAGCAGAGAGTTGGGCATGCCTGAGCTGGATGAGGGGCTGCAGAGGGTGGTAATAGTGGAGCAGGGATCCCCCAGAACCCGCTTCAGAGCCACCCCACCACTACATCAGCAGACTGTGGGAAAGGAGCCAATTTATGAAATTAAATAAAGTCCATGGGGGAAGTGAAGATCGCAGGCCAGGGTACCTTGACCGTGGCCAGGCCCAGCACAGCTGGAGCTCAGCACCCCCCTTCCCACCCCTCCCACGAGGGGGCTTAAATAGGCCAGGCCCTGGCCTGGCATCCCAGGGTCCCAGAGCCTAGGGGGGACAGAAGTCAGAGAAGTAGGGATGCTGCAGGGCCTCCTCCGCTGAGACACGCTGGACAGGGTTACACTTCAGGAGGTTCTGGAGACAGGAGGGAGCAAAGATGGTGGCAGATTCAGGCCAGGTCAACTGCCAGAGCCCCACCCTCCCCTAGTCCCCCTGGAGGAGGGTTTCAACCCCATCCTCTACCCTGGTTACCTACCTGCAGCAGGTCCCTCCCTGTGGCATTGAGCTTGGGCACGACATTCACCAGGGATGTTGTGGCCGGGTACATTGGGTAGGGCTGTGGAGGGGAGAGAGTCAGACCAGGGCGTGGGGTGTGGAGGCTACTGGGGCTGTGAAGAAAACTGATCTCTGACGAACCACGACTTTCCCCACTCCCCATCACACCTTGTAGTCTGGCAGCTTAGTCATGGCGGGCCACTGCTCCTCAGTTGGTGTCCCCAGCAGCGTGTCCATGGGGTCAAGGATCACTCATGGAAAGGGCTGCATTTGCACTTTTGGAGGTAGGGTGAGGGGCTTTGCGCTCCCAGGGATAGGGTTCTTCATTCCCACCTGCCCTCCTCTCCACCTGCTACCTCAAGATAAGCCTGTGACATATATTCCTATAGCATGGTGTTTACAGGGAGCCAGGTGTGTCTCAAATGCTCATTTAACTCAAACCCTGATGTCTATGCTCCGAAAGAACCAGTTGTCCTTCCCCTTCTCCCACAAAAAGTTCTCTGCTCCTTCTGGCTCCTTCATCCTGAGGATTCCCATCATCCCCCCACCTCAGAAGTAGGAGTGGCTACTTCCTCACCACGCTCCCCTTGCCTACAAGCTGCACCTACACAGGGACTATCAGCTCTTCGAACCTCACCCTCAGAAACAGCCCCGGGCCCCCTCATCCTTGCCCAGGCCATCACCACCCTCACCCCTGCTCTAAGTTCCTGGCTCACTCCCCTTCCAGAGTGAAGACATGGATGGTGAGCAAGAGATAGAGGGGGCAGGGGAAGTGAAGGATATCGGAAGATCCTCTTCAGCTGGTCATCCACATCGTTGCCAGGGAAAAGAGGTCGCCCAGCATTGGCCAGCTCTGGGAGGAAGAGAGAGGGATGAGCCCTGATCTGTGAGGCCCCCTCACACTGGAGCAGGCCCTGTGCCTTCCATCCCCATCCTTAAGAATCCCACTCCCTTCCCCCAGAGGAAACCCTCCAGGCCCTACTTGTCAACTCAAATGGGAGAGAAAGTACCCCTGCAGAGCCCCAGCATGTCACCTGCAAAGATGCAGCCAGCTGACCACATGTCGATGGACGTGGAGTACAGTTTAGCCCCAAAGAGGACATCCGGTGGACGGTACCACAGTGTCACCACCTGAAGAAGACCCCATCCACAGGGACCCCCCCACTTAGAGGGCTGGGAAACAGGTTTGAGGAAACTCAGAGACAAGAGGGTCTTGGTCCCCACCCAATGTCCCATTTCCCAGGCTCACTTCAGCAGAGTAACAGCGGACTGGGATCCCAAAGGCTCGAGCCAAACCAAAATCAGCCAACTTCAGCTCCCCATTCTAAGGAAAGATGAAGAGTAACATTGATAAGAACTTTCAAACAGCACTGGGGTAGGCTCCAGCTCTCCCAGTCCTGCCCCCTCAGTATGCCCAGTCCCTGGCTGCAGTCTTCACATCCTCCCTCCTCCCCCAAATAGCAATACCCTGTTTATGAGGAGGTTCTGGGGCTTCAGGTCCCTGTGCAACACGTTGCGGCTATGACAGAATCCCAGGCCTTTCAGCAGCTGGAAAAGGAATGACTAGGGAGAAGGAGGGAGAAGGGAATCAGACACCTGAATGTGTGGATCTTGCTGCCTGCCTCACCTTTTGTCATGCTCTATAGCCCACCCATTTGTAGCAGCAAGCTCAGGAAGACATCATCATTCATTATTGAGGACCCACTTTGCATGGTGCTAGGCATCAGAGAGAAAATGGTGAACAAGTTAACCCTGATCCCCACTTTTTTGGACCTTAGAGCCTGGCGGGCCTGTCTTCTCAGTCCATGCTTATCGCCCTACCTAGCCACACATAAGTGCACACACACACCATAACCAGTAGTGCAAGTACAGTGCTATAACGTTATTCAGGAACTGCTTCCCCTGGAACCTGGGACAAGGCCCTTGGTCTTCATCCTAACACAGTGCCTGGTGCAAAGCATCCAGTACTTGTTGAATGAACGAAATGTATCTCTATGAGCCTCATTTTCTCATCTCTCCCATGCAAATAACATCACTATTACCATGCAGGTCAAAGCAGACTTTGCTCCCTAAGACCAGAGGCTTGTGGAGGGCAGAAATGGGGTTTGTTCATTCTCTGACACTCCAGGGCCCAAACATGCAGTGAAGGAATACTTACACTAAATATAGACCCCACCCAGATTCAATGAGTCCTCAGAACAACCCTCCCCTAACCTTCACAATCTCAGGATCGAGGTCACCATTGCAGCTGTCAAAATACTTCTTCAGGTCCTAAAAATAGATAAGGGTAGAAGAAGAGGTCAGAATTTAACCTCAGTCTGGGCCCCTGTGTCCTACCAAAATCACTGCTCCCCAAGCCCCCTTTTCACCTGATCACAGAACTCAAAAACCAAAGTCAGCTTCTTGTCGCTATGCAGAACATCATGAAGCCTAGGGAGAAGGAAGGGCTCAGTCAGGTCCAAAAGTTGACCCCTAACATCCCAATACCAGCCCAGCCCAACGCTGAAGCCCCCACCTCTTCCAGCAACCACAGGCAAGAAAGGCCTGTGGGGCACACACCTGACGATGTTCTTGTGCTTCAGCTCCTTGAGTAGGCAGATCTCCCGAAGGGCAGAACTCGGCACACCCTACACATGAGGGACCCAGGGGCAACAGTCAGAGACCACACATACCAGGCCTCAAACACTACCTCCCCGTTGCCCTGTGCCCCAATCCTACCTCATCATCATCATCCAGCCTCACCCTTTTCAGAGCCACAATCTCATGGGTCTCCCGGTTTTTGGCCTTGAACACAGTTCCATAGGTGCCTAGGGAAAAGAAGCCAAGGATGAAGGAAAGCAGGAGTATCCTTTACCATCTTAGTAAATCCCTCCCGAGAGCAGTTAGCCTCCTAGGATGCTAGAGAAGGGTTTCAGGGTGAAGGCAAGGCACTGACTAGCTTTGTGAGGATGCGGCAGGTGGGGAGGGGCAAGAAGGTCCCTGCAAAGGCTCCAGGATACCTGCAGGAGGGAGAGTCTGCAGCCGCTAGGATAAGGAGGTTTATAACAGAGGCGTTGCTCCAGTAAGTCTGGAAACAGGAGGGATGTGGGCGAGAAAAGAGGGCCTGCAGAAATGTTGAGGTTGGAGGTCTGCAGAAAACTGAGGTTGGTGGGGAGTCCAGGTGAGGTTTGCAAGTGGTGCTGAGGCTAGAGATGGGATATGCAGGAAGTGCCGCGGTAGGGAGGTCGAGTCTTCAGGGAGTGCTAAGGTTATGAGTGGGAGTCTGCGGGAAATGCTAACTTGGGGAGGGATGGTTGCACATAGTGTTGTGCTCAGTGGCCAGGGCTTCTGCCGGGGTTGAGATCGAGCTGTAGATATTGCTGACGGTAAGGGGAGTCGGGGCTGCAAGGAATGCTGAAGGGTCTGCAGAAGAAGACCTTGCAGGAACATCTCGTGGTTCTGTTACCTTCCCCAATCTTCTCCAGTTTCTCGTATTTCTGCATTGCGG